AACCCCGAGCGCTTTCAGTGTGAGTGTGCGTTAAGGAGGTGTGTATATCTCCTAAATGAGTTTATGGTGATTTTTGAGAGCTCTTCTGAATGGATTTAGAGTTACCAGTGATAGCTCTCATTAATATGTATAGTGCTGGAGTCGGTTACATGAGGTGGGCTTAAGAACACGTCATTTCCCTATTAAGCAACATGTCTTAGTAACTCCCTAAGTTAACTGGCTGAATATATCTTATTCTTTAATTCTTTGTTGAGTAGACAGCTCCAGTAGACTCATCTCCTAAAAGCAATGAGTCTATGGAATAACAACCCTTGCTATCTTCCAAGTATTAAATATAACCCAATAATATTACACTGTTTTTCATCGTTGATTTTGTTGTAATAATAATTTGTGACCTAATTATCTTGTGCTCTAATGTACCGTAAGATAAGAACAATCATTATCTCGGGAGAGAGATGAGAAAAGTATTCTTATCTTGACTTGTTACCTGCATGTAGTGACCATGAGCCACAGGTCCTTCACTGTGTGCAGTGAGCATGAGCCACAGGTCCTTCACTGTGTGCAGTGAGCATGAGCCACAGGTCCTTCACTGTGTGCAGTGACCATGAGCCACAGGTCCTTCACTGTGTGCAGTGAGCATGGGCCACAGGTCCTTCACTGTGTGCAGTGACCATGAGCCACAGGTCCTTCACTGTGGGTAGTGACCGTGAGCCACAGGTCCTTCACTGTGGGTAGTGACCATGGGCCACAGGTCCTTCACTGTGGGTAGTAACCATGAGCCACAGGTCCTTCACTGTGTGCAGTGAGCATGGGCCACAGGTCCTTCACTGTGTGCAGTGACCATGAGCCACAGGTCCTTCACTGTGTGCAGTGAGCATGGGCCACAGGTCCTTCACTGTGGGTAGTGACCATGAGCCACAGGTCCTTCACTGTGTGCAGTGACCATGAGCCACAGGTCCTTCACTGTGGGTAGTGACCATGAGCCACAGGTCCTTCACTGTGTGCAGTGAGCATGGGCCACAGGTCCTTCACTGTGGGTAGTGACCATGAGCCACAGGTCCTTCACTGTGTGCAGTGACCATGAGCCACAGGTCCTTCACTGTGTGCAGTGAGCATGGGCCACAGGTCCTTCACTGTGGGTAGTGACCATGAGCCACAGGTCCTTCACTGTGTGCAGTGACCATGAGCCACAGGTCCTTCACTGTGTGCAGTGAGCATGAGCCACAGGTCCTTCACTGTGTGCAGTGAGCATGGGCCACAGGTCCTTCACTGTGGGTAGTGAGCATGAGCCACAGGTCCTTCACTGTGGGTAGTGAGCATGAGCCACAGGTCCTTCACTGTGTGCAGTGAGCATGGGCCACAGGTCCTTCACTGTGGGTAGTGACCATGAGCCACAGGTCCTTCACTGTGGGTAGTGACCATGAGCCACAGGTCCTTCACTGTGGGTAGTGACCATGAGCCACAGGTCCTTCACTGTGGGTAGTGACCATGGGCCACAGGTCCTTCACTGTGTGCAGTGAGCATGAGCCACAGGTCCTTCACTGCGTGTAGTGACCATGAGCCACAGGTCCTTCACTGTGTGCAGTGACCATGAGCCACAGGTCCTTCACTGTGGGTAGTGACCGTGAGCCACAGGTCCTTCACTGCATGTAGTGACCATGAGCCACAGGTCCTTCACTGTGTGCAGTGAGCATGAGCCACAGGTCCTTCACTGCGTGTAGTGACCATGAGCCACAGGTCCTTCACTGTGTGCAGTGAGCATGAGCCACAGGTCCTTCACTGTGTGCAGTGAGCATGAGCCACAGGTCCTTCACTGCGTGTAGTGACCATGAGCCACAGGTCCTTCACTGTGTGCAGTGAGCATGGGCCACAGGTCCTTCACTGTGTGCAGTGACCATGAGCCACAGGTCCTTCACTGTGGGTAGTGACCGTGAGCCACAGGTCCTTCACTGTGGGTAGTGACCATGAGCCACAGGTCCTTCACTGCGTGTAGTGACCATGAGCCACAGGTCCTTCACTGTGTGCAGTGAGCATGAGCCACAGGTCCTTCACTGCGTGTAGTGACCATGAGCCACAGGTCCTTCACTGTGTGCAGTGAGCATGAGCCACAGGTCCTTCACTGTGGGTAGTGAGCATTGAGCCACAGGTCCTTCACTGTGTGCAGTGAGCGTGAGCCACAGGTCCTTCACTGTGAGTAGTGAGCATGAGCCACAGGTCCTTCACTGTGGGTAGTGAGCATTGAGCCACAGGTCCTTCACTGTGTGCAGTGAGCGTGAGCCACAGGTCCTTCACTGTGTGCAGTGAGCATGAGCCACAGGTCCTTCACTGTGTGTAGTGTACATGAGCCACAGGTCCTTCACTGTGTGTACTGTGCGTTGGTCGCTGTACCGTAATATGAACGTTCCTGGACGCATACAGAGAATAATGACTTAAGACAGATTCAGAACATTAATGAACATTCTTGAAAAAGTTTAAAAATAAAGAAGGCCTGACTGAGGTATAGAAAGAGGTTGAAGAGTATAACAACGTGATATTAATATTATATAAATATATCAATAGAAAATAGTACACGAGTCAGTGAATCCAAATGATATAAATTAAGATTCAGGAAAGACCTGGGTAAATACCGGGTTGTAAACTGGAGTCTTGATTTTTGGATGAAATTTCTGGATAACATAAAGGTGGAATCGCTGGATTGTTTCAAGCGTAGGTTAGACATATGTTTGTAATTCTGGTCGACCATATATAGAAGCTTCCCCGCATGGGACAACAGGCCGTTTGTAGCCTATGTGTTATTCTTGTGGTCTCCGGTCATTGTGTCCAGTCAGACTGTTATGTTCCTCGCTATCTCACGAGCCACACTTTGTAAACTGAGTATTAAGAGATATCGGTGAAGATATCAATCACGTCGCTTGCAATATCAATTACGGATTTAAAGATAAAAGGGAATTAACTCACGACAAAGGAATTTGACAAGATTTGAGGCGGATAAGATAAGACAGTCACGTCTTAAGGTCAGGCTCTAACACATCTAACGTCACCCGAACAGTTTTCAACATATTCTGAAGTGCTGATTATTTCCGCACAGTGCAGGAGATTGACGTTTGTCACGATAAAGCAGAGACACAGAGCACTAGTTTACCGACGTAATGCCCCCTTAGTTTACCGACGTAATGCCCCCTTAGTTTACTGGCATAATGCCCACAACCCCCCCCCCTTAATTCACCATTATAATGCTCCATAGTTAACGACACAATGGCAAATAATAACATATATTATGCCTCACAATTTGCTAATATATCGCCCCACAATATACCAACATAATGTCCCACAATTTTCCGACATGATTCTTCACAATTTACAGACGTAAAACCTCACAATTTACCGATATAATAACCAAAATTTTTCAGACATAACGCCCAATAATTTACATAAGTAATGCCTCACAATTTAACGACATAATGCCTCATAATATACTGACATAAAGCCGAACAATTTACAAATGTTCTTTCCCATATAAATAGCTCCATAGTTACAGGTGAAATACCTTACAATTTACTGAATGTTACAACAATTTGCCAACATAATGCCCAACAATTTACCAACATAACGCCTCACAATTTATAGTTATAATGCCCTACAATTTACCAACATAATGCCTCACAATTTCCAGATATAATGCCCTGCAATTTACCAACACAATGCCCCACAATTTACCGACATAATGCCCTTGAATTTACCAACATAATGCCCCAAAGTCTACAGACATATTACCCAATAATTTAACACCATAACGATCGATAAATGAATGTTTAATGTCCATTCTTTACAAATGTAACACTCCCACGCCCATCCTCACCACCATAATTTACTGATATAACAACTATTAATTGAGAATTCTACTGAATCCATTAATTAGTTTAAAGAATCATCAAATATTGTTTGACATTATCAATAAAATAGCCAGAGATTTTTTTATACTAAATGAATAAATGTCTCTAGTTCACTGTCCTTCATAACTAGGTATGCCACTAGATACACAATCGTAACTTACAATACAGATAACATTCAAATCAATGTTAGAGAAAAATTATGTAAAAAATCTGACGTTAATAATAATAATCATTTAACCTTCGTCCAATTTAGGGTTTAAAATTTCCACAATTTAAAAAAGAACACTGAATACTTGGTCAAGTTTGGTTGTGGACAACACATGAAATGTGAAGCGTGTGGTACCTTACCCAGCCTCTCACGGATACCATCTGAAGAGTTCCTCCAACAGTGTTTCAGGGATACCATCTGAAGAGTTCCTCCAACAGTGTTTCAGGGATACCATCTGAAGAGTTCCTCCAACAGTGTTTCACGGATACCATCTGAAGAGTTCCTCCAACAGTGCTTCAGGGATACCATCTGAAGAGTTCCTCCAACAGTGTTTCAGGGATACCATCTGAAGAGTTCCTCCAACAGTGTTTCAGGGATACCATCTGAAGAGTTCCTCCAACAGTGTTTCAGGGATACCATCTGAAGAGTTCCTCCAACAGTGCTTCAGGGATACCATCTGAAGAGTTCCTCCAACTGCGCATCATTGCCTCTGACTGGAAAGCTTTTCTAACACAGTCTCAGTTCTTCAGCTGTAGAATTCTTCTAACAGCTTCCCACAGCTAGAAACTGCAGACGAACAAGAACTCATTCTCATATACAAATATACAACGGCCTCCAACAGTGACAATGTGCGGAGCTTCTCCAACAGTGACAATGTGCGGAGCTTCTCCGACAGCTTCCCAAGGCTCCCCATCTGTGATGACCCCGACACTGAAGGTCAATATGTTCATCTAGCTGGAAACATCGAAATGTTGATTGAACAACGGCAGAAGTTTTTACAGCATTGGCAACAATAAACTTCTTCACTCGTTACCTGATCAAGAGAGTTAAGATGATCCTGGCCTGAATTGTAGCCTGGGAGAAAAGCCAACAATAATGTAGGTGCTGTGGCAGTCCCAGAGCCGCCGGCAACGATGAAACACAGGCAACAGGCTGCACGATTATCAGTCGTGGTGGACACTTCATACATGATAGCAGACGATAAGGCCAGACTAGGGCCTGGTGCAGCCCTCCCGGGCCAGTCCTTCACCACAGCCCACAGCATCAAAGCCCACACCAACATGTTGTGGTGGTCGGGGCGTCTTCTGGTGCTGGCCGCCTTGCTTACAGCCGCCGCCGCCGCCCTGGACACTGAGGAAATACAGGTAAGTCTGGCTGGAAGTCTGGCGTTCAGAATTCCACATTGCACGAGATGCTGTTCCTCTGTCAAACAGTGAACGCTCCTCTACTGCTACTGCTGCGATATTCAAACTGCGTCATAATTCTCGCTGTCGGGGATAGGAAGATATGTCCCTAGGCTTGAATCGAGGTCCCCACTTATTTCGAAATACTAAATTGAATCCGGGACCCTCGATTGTGAATCGAGAACGTAGACCACTATACCACTATGAGAAGTAGAAAGTGCGTGTCTGGCTTAAAGATCACGAGAGTGAGCCAAGAAAATCTCTTTGTTACTGTAACAGCGGTGACGGGATGGAAACTCTTCATCGTGCCCACATAACACACGATACTGAACCTAAATTTCATCAGAATATTAGAAAATTACCCGAGGAAAACAAAGGTTTATAATAACATGAGGAAAACTTAGTAAAAGTGTTCTTTTATACTCTGTGCTGACACTGACGTCAAGAATAAGTGGATTAAATTGCATGAACGTCAGGGACGAAACCTCAGTGTAACACCTTGCAAAACAAATTACAAAATTGCAATACTCAATGACACCTTGTAACACTCAGTGTAATATTGCATCACACAGTGAAACCTTGTAACAATTAGTGTATTATTGCAACACAAGTGAAAACGTACAACGCACAGTGTAACATTGAAACACTCAGTGTAATACTGCAACAAGCAGTGAAACTATGCGATACATATTGTAACTTTGTTACACTCAGTGTAACCTTATAACACTCTGTGTAATATTGCAATACACAGTGTAACCTTGCAACACACACAATTAAACTTTGTAACATTTCGTGTAATATTGCAACACACAATGTAACCTTCTAACACACAATGTAACTTTGCAACACACAGTGTAACTTTGCAACACACAGGGTAACTTTGCAACACACAGGGTAACTTTGCAACACACAGGGTAACTTTGCAACACACAGGGTAACTTTGCAACACACAGGTAACTTTGCAACACACAGGGTAACTTTGCAACACAGGGTAACTTTGCAACACACAGTGTAACTTTGCAACACACAGTGTAACTTTGCAACACACAGGGTAACTTTGCAACACACAGGGTAACTTTGCAACACACAGGGTAACTTTGCAAAACACAGTGTAACTTTGCAACACACAGGGTAACTTTGCAACACACAGGGTAAACCCATGCTTATCATCATCTGGAATTAAACAACGTACTATCACTCATAACCAACAAAGAGCCTCATGTAATTGGTCATTCAGAAGATAGTATGTAATTCGTAGCTATCAAGAGCTTAAAACCAAATCACTCATTTATTTTCTGAAATGCATTATTCAGGACAATGTTATCTGTATTTCAATCATACTTGCTGTAACGATTTATGTATCGCAAGACTATATCAAACATATATTATGATTGATGCAAGACTATATCAAACTGATATATAACATTACAAATTCAGTAAACGTGTTGCAATTAAGAATTTCAATTAGTCACGTTGCCCCTACAGAGCATCAGTATCTCAAGGCTTCGGCTATTTGAAAGAAATCTTACTCTCCAAGGTTGCGGGTGATGTTAACATCTTAACACGTCTTATTGAAGATGTGGGAGAAAGACTTGTTCTTCATATTCAAGCTGTGGTACGAAGATATGTGTTTCATGATGCAGCTATGGGAGGAAGACATTTTCTTCATGATGAAGCTGTGTGAGGAATATTACTTCGCTGGCCTTAGGCATCTAACTGGCCCGCTAAGTATTGCTCACTTCAGCCTTACTCAAGCGGTGGATGAGAGGCCGCGTGTTGTGAAGTCTCAGCGGTAACCTGACTGGAAAAGCCTTGTGTTTCGGGTAGAGGATCTCTGGTCATATATGAAGCTTCTGCTCTCTATTTAGACGCACATTTGTGATACTCGCCTATGTTTTCGTTGTTAATATTACTACAGTTATGGACCGAAACATACATAGGTTAAAGTTACGTATCGCTCGCAATAATGTAAAATGTTTACAGATGGCAAACAATTATGTAAACAACGAGACTCGGGTCTCGAACATGACATTATCGGAGATACACAGCAGTAAACTTCGCGTGTGTAAACTTGGTAATACCGAAGCAAATTTTCTCACAGAGAAGTAAACTTTTAATATGATCCGGGTATGTTGATTTGATATCAGTTAAGATTCCCTCACTGTGATAGACTATAAATATAAGTATGTCTTCTTGGAAAACTGATTAGACAAATCAGGGAGAAAACAAAAGCCTTCTGTTTACTGTTCCAGACAACGGTGTACTGTTGCTGAGGCCGGCGGGATAACGCGGCCAGCTGGGGATACCAGCAATGATTACGGTGCTCATAAACCATGAAAATGGCAGTTATGACAGGCACTTCATGATAGATATATCTTATTATATAAGATATATCTATTGATCTATTGCACACACACACACACACACACACACACACACACACACACACACACACACACACACACACACAGGGCCTCGTAGGCCTCGTAGGGCCTCGAAGGGCCTCGTAGCCTGGTGGATAGCGCGCAGGACTCGTAATTCTGTGGCGCGGGTTCGATTCCCGCACGAGGCAGAAACAAATGGGCAAAGTTTCTTTCACCCTGAATGCCCCTGTTACCTAGCAGTAAATAGGTACCTGGGAGTTAGTCAGCTGTCACGGGCTGCTTCCTGGGGTGTGTGTGTGTGTGTGTGTGTGTGTGTGTGTGTGGTGTGAAAAAAAAAAAAAAAAAAAAAAAAAAAGTAGTTAGTGTAGTTAGTAAACAGTTGATTGACAGTTGAGAGGCGGGCCGAAAGAGCAAAGCTCAACCCCCGCAAACACAACTAGGTGAATACACACACACACACACACACACACACACACACACGCACACACACACACACACAGCAGCTAGATGTACTAGCCGACTGATAGAGCAAAAAAGTGCAGTAGCAATAGTAGGCATTAAGGTGCAAATAGGGACCGGTCCAGCGGAGAGGAAAGACAAGGGAAAAAAACGAAGTTAATGAGATCCTTAAAGGGGTAGTGATGGAGAGAGCTGTCCAGAATATTGAAAAGGTTTTCAGGCTCAGACAATATATCAAGGACAGAGACCGATTGATAAAGGTAGTATTCACGAGTGAGAACACAAAAGAGGACCTGTTAGCAAGGAAGAGCGGACTAGCAAATGTACCAAAGTTCAAAAAGTATTCTTGCAGAGGGATATAACAAGGAACGAGAGAATGAGGGCAGCAGCTGCGAGAAGGTAGTGCAGAGAGAAAGGAATCAGGGAACCATGACCCCAAACCCTACAATCCCAGAGGGGAGGGGGAACCCTCTACAAGCAGTTCAACAGCCACAGTGGGAAAAGCACCACCCCCACCTTCCACCCAATAGATGCCCTACCTGCCCCAATCCCTACCAGACCCCCACTAGGTGCCCACCTATGGCACCTCCCCCCCTCCCCCTCCCCCTCCCCAGGACATCCCTCCCTTTCCCCCATCCCCCAAGTCCTCCCTTCTCCCCCCCCCCCCATGCCCCACCTTCTGCCCCGCCCCCAAGCCCTCCATTCTCCCCTACCCCCCCCTAAGCCCTCCCTTCTTCCTCACCCCTCCCTCCTCTTCTACCCCCCAGGCCCCCCTTCTCCCCTATCCCCCCAAGCCCTCCCTTCTTCTGTAGGCCCCCCCCCAAGCCTCCTCTTCTCCCACACTCCCGCAAGCCTCCCCCCTCTAACCCGCCCCCTCAAGCTTTCCCCTCTCACCCTCCCCTCCAAGCCCTCTCTCTTCTCCCCCACCCCCAAGCCCTCTCTCCTCCACCACCCTCCCCGTACCAGATCCTCCCAGTCCCCGCACACCCCAGATCCCTCAGGTTCCCCTCTCTAGGCCCTCCCATTCCGGACCCTCCCTTTTTCCCTGCTTCAGGGAACTGTCAGTTTGTAATTGACCCAAACACGCTTTGTGAGTCTGACCAGTGTTGTTGCGGTCTTCTCGATACGCTTGTTGAGATCAGTGTCCATGGAAAGTGTGGCTGAGATTGTGGAGCCCAGGTACATAAACTCGTGGACCGCCTCCAGCTCGCAGTCTGTGATGTTTATACCGGGTAACTCATTGACGTCTTGTCCCATCAACTGTGTCTTCTTCAGGGGGATTGTCAGGCCGAATGCGGAGCCGACGACGGCAAAGTGGTTGAGTAGCTGCTGCAGGCCTTCTGCTGTGTGTGTGTGTGTGTGTGTGTGTGTGTGTGTGTGTGTGTGTGTGTACTCACCTATATGTACTCACCTATATGTGCTTGCAGGATCGAGCATTGACTCTTGGATCCCGCCTTTCGAGCATCGGTTGTTTACAGCAATGACTCCTGTCCCATTTCCCTATCATACCTAGTTTTAAAATTATGAATAGTATTTGCTTCCACAACCTGTTCCTGAAGTGCATTCCATTTCCCCACTACTCTCACGCTAAAAGAAAACTTCCTAACATCTCTGTGACTCATCTGTTTCAAGCTTCCATCCATGTCCTCTCGTTCTGTTACTATTCCGTGTGAACATTTCGTCTATGTCCACTCTGTCAATTCCTCTGAGTATCTTATACGTTCCTATCATGTCCCCCCTCTCCCTTCTTCTTTCTAGTGTCGTAAGGCACAGTTCCCTCAGGCGCTCTTCATACCCCATCCCTCGTAGCTCTGGGACGAGTCTCGTTGCAAACCTCTGAACCTTTTCCAGTTTCATTATATGCTTCTTCAGATGGGGACTCCATGATGAGGCGGCATACTCTAAGACTGGCCTTACGTAGGCAGTGTAAAGCGCCCTAAATGCCTCCTTACTTAGGTTTCTGAATGATGTTCTAACTTTTGCCAGTGTAGAGTACGCTGCTGTCGTTATCCTATTAATATGTGCCTCAGGAGATAGATTAGGTGTTACGTCCACCCCCAGGTCTCTTTCACGCGTCGTTACAGGTAGGCTGTTCCCCTTCATTGTGTACTGTCCCTTTGGTCTTGTGTGTGTGTGTGTGTGTGTGTGTGTGGTGATCCCTGCATTGTCGGCGAAGAGGAACTGCCTGAGGATTCTCATATGTACTTTCATCTTTGCTCGGAGTCTGGATAGATTGAAGAGCTTTCCATCAGATCTTGTCCAGAGACAGATGCCCTCTGTGGTTGTTCCAAAGTCATGCTTGACGAGGATCGCGAAGATGCCGAACAGGGTTGGAGCAAGAACACACCCCTGTTTAACACCACTGTTGATGTTGAATGGTTCAGAAGTTGAGCCGTCGTACACGACCGTGCCCTTCATGTCCTCGTGGAACGATTGTATCATGCTGAGTAGGGTGTGTGGGCAGCCAATTTTGGCCAAGATCTTGATGACTCCGTCCCTCCTCACAAGGTCGAAGGCCTTTGTAAGGTCACTGAAGGTGATGAACAGGGCTTTCTCTGCTCCCTGGACTTTTGCTGAAGCTGTTTCAGGGAGAACACCATGTCAGTATCGATCTCTCGGCTCTGAAACCGCACTGTGACTCTGGATACACTCTTTCAGCAGAAATTTGGAGCCTGACCAAGACGACACTGGCGAAGTTTCAGTGTCGTCTTGAGAGGCAGTGGAGGCATAACACATTACATACGTCAAGTAGCATGAGGTGAAGTGAGGGGGAGGGACAGGGTAGACAGTTGATGTGTGCTGGAGCAGCAGGTGTGGCGTGAGGCAGCGGTACATAATGATAATGTGTATCAAGGAGCTGTCGCATGGTCCTGAAAAAAAGATCTATATATAGTGTTACATGAGAGCTTGACAACCATTGTTCTCCTACATCGGAACTTTAAAGTATTCAGAGCTTGCGTCTGGTCAGGACTTCAACCAACACAAATGTTAGAATAAGATTATTTGGAATATATTGAAATGCTCACAACTCTTCTATTGTAATTAATATATTCATAAAAGATTATCATCAAGTTAGTGATATGATTTTTCATTCTCTTTTTCAGAAAGAAGAAGAAGGATACTTAGTTGAAGCTGGTGAGTGATAATGTAGGACCAGACAAGGTGGTTGGTTGTTAGACGTAGTTCATCTCCAGACTCACAGTTCCTGAGAGTCATTAGGATATCCTGTCTCACACTAACTGTTCTCAACACAACACAACTTCTTCCTGAGCGTCACGAGGATGATGCCACCTTACCTAACTCTTAATGAACACATCAACGCATCTTTCCTCCCAGGTGTCGTGATCACTGAAAAAAAAATTGTTGGTAACGAGCGGCCCGCGACATCAGGTCTGTTCTGGAAATATTACATGCATGTATAATCAGTTTAATGTCTTAGATTATGTCAACTAGTTATCACTGTAGGGAACATGGCTGCCCTTCCTCGTGTGGGTGGAGGTGGTGGTCCAACCCGGCCTCTTACAAATTACGTCGCTTTTCGCTCGTATGCGCACTCAGGATAAAAAAAAGACATAATTCAAAATGAAATCAGCTCACGAAAGTGATGTGCTGTCCCGTTTTCTGTTTTGGGTCCTCAGGCTTAGGCTGTTAGGTTAGGAGAGAAAACTTTCACGGTTTTCATGACGTTTTGAAACCTTAGGAGAATTTCCTGTCCTCCTAACCTGCCAGAGGACCCTTAACTTGCTGCTTTGGACAAAACAAATCCAAATTGTTTTTCAATTATTTTTCATTTTCAAATTACGGCATTTTTGGTCGTAGCGAATACGAGCAAAAAGCGACGTAGTTTGTAAGAGGTTGCCAAGAGGTCAACACCCACATGAGGAGAACAGGTGGGGATGCTCCTATTTTCTTCCTCTGGAGATTCAACACTTCGGGTTGAATCATATATTCATGAAGACAATTAATAACAGACATGAGGCACGGCCTCATCCACCTTTCTTCCTCCCATTTCCCCCCGGGTAAACGGCAGGAGTTAGGATGAAACTCTACGATTTTCACAAAACAAGATTTGATTTCACATTTCGTGAAAATCGCTGGGGATTAGGAACTTCAGGTAAGCATATTTCTTAAAGCATGGTACTTGGGCCGACCATAGTGTTCTGTGACACACATATACCCTCCATGTTTCATGCAGGGAAACTGTGTGAGGCTAACCAAAAGTATCTGGCCTCTGTCCAGATAGACAGACAGACGGGCAGGCAAGCAGACAGATTTTGTCTTTTATATATACCAAATCCATAACAATTGTTCATTCGTTTGCATTTGAATTTTAAATTAATTTGCTTACCAGTTACACGATTGATTTATAATCTGACTGTTCTTCAGTGACTAAATTACGTAGTTACGTAGTTAGTTACGTAGTTAGCTGTAACTATGGGTACAGTAGCTACTCCTGGTGAGATGACATATGACACGATGAGCGATACGTTGCTGACACAGGCGTATAAGGACCCCATATCGTCCTCCTCAAGGCCAGGACCAAGTAATCACTCTTAACCTCGAAATTTGAATTTCTTATCTCAAGTGGAATGTGGTAGAGGCATCGGGTCTTCAGTTGACCGCACGCGCGGCGACCAGTTTGACCGTGATAGTCTGTTGACCAGACCACACACTAGAAAGTGAAGGGACGACGACGTTTCGGTCCGTCCTGGACCATTCTCAAGTCAATTGTGAGAATGTTCGACTTGAGAATGGTCCAGGAGGGACCGAAACGTCGTCGTCCCTTCACTTTCTAGTGTGTCAGTCAGTCACAGTGAGAGGTTGTGTTAGCTGGAGCTCCGATTGTCGTATTATTACCATAGCAATATGGAAGGTGTAGTGAGGGAACTGATGAGTCTAGTTGGAGCTCTGAGGACAGAGTTGGATTCCCTACGGGATGAGGTACGACAGCCGAAACAACATCAGGAAGAAACAAAGGAGGCGACCGGTATTAAAAAGACCTCGTTTTGGAAAGTTGTAAAGGACAGGGGCCTTAAGAAGACTTTGGCAAAGCCGCCTGCTGATGTCCTAAGAACTTCTAACGCATTTGCCGTGTTGGAGGACGAGTGCTGTGGTGAGCCTGCAGTTCGTTCGAAAGGCAAAGTAACGAAGCGCAGGTCGCTCAAAAGTGCTCAAAAGGTAAAGGAAGGAACTAAGCGAATTATGGTTGTGGGAGATTCCCAGGTGAGGTATTTAGACAGAACGTTTTGTGCCAGAGATAGGGGGAACAGGTTATGGGTTTGCTATCCAGGAGCTGGAATTGGCGATATTGTTGGCCACATTAATGATATTATGGCTGGAAATCATAACAAACCCATTATTTGTATCAGTGCTGGAGGAAGTGATGTTGGACGAGTTAGGAGTGAGGAGCTGATACAGAGGTTTAAATCAGCCATAGAATTAGTTAGGAGCAAGGGAGGAATCCCGATCATAGGTGGCATTCTTCCAAGAAAGGGAGTTGGAAATGAATGGTGGTCGAGGGCACTTGGTGTAAATTGCCGGCTGGAAAAATATTGCAAATCAAATGCAATATCTTTCATAGATAACTGGAAACACTTCTATGGAAGAAATGAAATGTCTGCTCGGGATGGGGTGCCTCTGTCGAGGGCTGGGGTTGTTGCTATTGCGAACTCGTTGGAACCAGTGGTTGGAGGCGTTTGTTTGGGTTTGGATTAGACTGTTAGAAGATAGTGGTATGGTAATTAAAATGGAGAAAGGAGGTAATAAAAGTATGTGTTCGTGGGAGAAGGAAATTGGCAAATTGATCAGGGAAAGAGAAGAACCTCAAAATAACAATACACTTAGGGTATATTACACTAACTGTAGAAGTCTAAAAAACAAAATAAACGATTTAAATGCTCTTGTCTGCACATAATTTTTTTATATTATTGCACTTACCAAAACGTGGATGAATGTAGAAAATAGAGAACTATTAACTGAATATCATATAAATGGATTTAAACTATTTCGCACAGATTGATATATTAGACGAGGTGGGGGAGTAGCCATATATGTTAGGGAAAATTTGAAATGTAGTCTCAAAGAGGGGAATCAAATCTGAACCACACTCAGAAACTATTTGGATAGAATTAAACGAAAAAGCAAATAATCTTATAATAAGAGTTATATATAGACCACCAAACTTAAACAGGATGGCAGCAAAGCACCTATGGGACAAAATTTCTAGAGCAGCTAGGTCAAGCAGTATTTGTGTCAAGGGTGATTTTAATTTTAGTGGAATAAATTGGTTTAACAGAACATGGAATAATGAAGCAGAATATTTTCTAGAATTAATTGACGATTGCTTTCTTGCACAACACATTAAAAAACCAACGCAGGAAAATAATATTTTAGATTTAGTGTTAACTAACAGGGAAACACAAATTATTGACATCGAAATACGGAGTGAGCTAGGAAACAGTGATCACAAAGAAATCAGATTTAGCATAGAATGGAATAGATCTGCAGGAGAAAAATTCTGTTAAAGTGCCAGATTTTAGAAAAGTTTATTTCAAAAGGCTAAGAATTTTTGGGGGGTCAAATAGAATGGAAAGTCTTGGGCTTCGGGGGTAGGCTGGTCTTGGAGCGAGACGTGAACCCAGCGAGAGATGACGTAAAAAGGGATTTCGATGTGGATTCAAAATATAACTTATTTAAAAATATTCTAAGCAAAGCACAGTATATAGTATACCATACAAATTGAATAGATCGAATACTATTGACCCAAAGTGGATAACAAAGGGTCTGAAGAACTTTATATGTAAAAAGAGAGTGTGATGCAAAAGGATTAAGAATGGGGAAATCGGTTTAGAACAGAAATTCGTACAACTGGTTAGAAATGTTAAAAAAAAGAGATAAGGAAAGCATAGCAAAAAAAAAAAATTATGAAGTTCGTATAGCTAAGGTCAAGCAAAGACAAATCCTAAAGGGTGTTTTTACTTATAATGAACAAAGATTAGGGAAAGGATAGGCTCATTAAAAACTGAGACTGGTCAAATAACGGATGTCTTCACCTTGAAAAACATAAATTAATAATTGATTCTTAACATGGTTTTACAAATGGCTGTTCATGTTTAAGAAATTTGCTATCATTTTATTCCAGCATAGTTAAGGCAGTTACAGTACCAACCTTCTGTGTGGTACTGTATCAAAGGCTTTTGTCAGTCCAGAAATACGTAATTTGCCCAGCCTTCTTTGTCTTGCCTTATTTTCGTTACATAACCATAAAACTCCAGGAGGTTCGTCAGGCATGATTTCCCTTTTCTAAAGCCGTGTTGTTATTTAAATACAAGCCTAATTCTTCCTACTAGTGCAACTAGTTTAAGCCAAGTAATTCTTTCAAGTACTTCGCAAGGAATGATTGTGAGCGACAATGTTCTGTAGTTAAGTGCCTCTTCTCTAGCTCCTTTCTAGTATATTGCCACCATATTTACGCACCATATTTAGGCAGTCCGTATTCAGACGAAGGCAAACACAAGCGGTTACCACCGCCCTGTAAGCTAAGTCAAAACGCACAAACGAGGAACTTTGTAACTCGGTGATAAGAGACGTTAATGCAGCTTCTGATAAGATTCAGCACAAGTGAAAAACTAATATCTGATAAGCGTCAGGACTTCGCAGATATTTTTCTAAAACCTCAGTACTGCATTCTCAACACTGAACGGATCAGATCCAACACAATTCAACATTCATGTCCAAATACCATAACACATCCTACTGTAAATAACATTCTTCAAATAAGAACAAAGAGATCCAAGTCAACTCATTAGATGCACCAACTAAACTTTTGAACCTGTGTTCTTCAAGGAACAGTTCCCTACACATTCAGATATCACCCTTGGTTACAGGAAGGAAATTCATAGATCGTCCTGTGCACGGTACATGCAGATCGGCGAATAGAAAATACTGTACTGTATTACATAAATCTTTTATTATTGCAAAGCTATATGTAGGAAGCAAATAGCGTTAAGAAATGTTCCTATTATTCTTGAACCACATGGGAGGTAGTTCAAGAACACTGTGAATATTATTGTATTCTTAAGTAAGAACATACATTACTGACCAAAATTAGGCGAGGAAGAACGTGAAAAATGTCA